GCTGCGAAACCAGGGCATTCACCAGCAATCAGATCAAATCCTACCAGACATTCCTCAACAGAGTCGTTCGCGGAGCCACGCGACAGAGATTGTCTACGATGTCGGACGACAGAGTCACTATGGCGGATCTCAGGAAACGATTGGGTATGCGACCAGTATCGGTGACGATTGGTTTGCGCCAGTTACAGCATGCGGGGCGCGTCGCCCGGCCCCCAACTGATCGCCCCGAGTGGCAGATTCTTTGGGCTTCGCTCACTCCAGAGGTCGACCATGCGAACAGGAAACGCGGACGCAGCACGCGACAACAATGGTGGCCAAGGATAACCGAGGTCATGCGGCTCACAGACATCCCCGCAGATCAATGGCACGCCCACTGGACCACCACGGCCTCTTCCGCAGACGGCGCCACGCGGCGCAACCTCTTGAAACGGTGGACCAAGGCTCAGATGGAGGAAGAATGGAAACAAGAGTGGCAACAGAAGCACCAACCAGCCGACAGCGCTGCTCCCGCCGCGCCGCGCCAACCAGAGCAGATCGACGGTGCACGGCGCCCCCCGGAGGGCAAGTTCGAGCGCGACTTCTGCGGGGCACAAATGGGTCTACACAGCATGAAGCGTCATGGCGGACCATGTTCAGCACTCCCTGAGGACGTACGAGCGGCCACCCGCGCAGGCCGAGAAGCACGGGCACAACGGGGTTCGAGCACCACCAGCACGAGTACAGCCTTCACACAACAACCCGTACAAACACAAGTACCCACGTCTTCTTCCACCTCTGCGCCCGGTCCCTGTCTCTCCTCCTCTTCCGTGCCTCCACAGCCAGCTGCGCATCCGATCCCACCGCAAGCTCCTCCAGCAGGACAGCCGCGACGCCTCCGAGGGAAACAAGCTCGCCCTGCCAACTACGCTGAACCACACCGTCGGGTAGATCCCCGATGGAAGGGAATCGTACCGTGGGCGATGCCCGGACCGCCAGATGTCGATAACTGACCCCCCTGTTCCCCAAGCGCCGGCCCCTCGAACTTGCCCGCGGTGCAACGGGGAGTTCAAAAACGCGACAGCCCGGACTCAGCACAGCCTGGCCTGCCAGAGCATGCCGCACAATGAATGGCTTCGGCGAGCGCGCTTTGTCCACGGAGTTCACGAAGCAAATCGACCCGAGTTCCCCTCTCGACATTGCGGCGCCAGGTCCTGGACTGCGAAGGCGGCCGGCCGCCGCAGCACTACATGCGGCCAGCGGCGGTCCAAAGCCGGTCTCCTACTCAACGCAGAGCTTTGGCACGCGTTGGACGGGGGCGACGAACTGCAATCATGGGCCATACAGGGACTCTACGGCAGGCGTGGAACCCCCCATTCACGCTTCCACCTCCCGCCGACGACTCACAGCAACCGCAACACCAGCCACCAGCACGACCCACAGCACGACCATCCGAGTGCCACCACCGCCGCACCGCGCCGCATCCCACAGCTTGTGCAGACTACGTCACCACCAGCTTGCGCAGACCGCCCACCCGCTTGTGCAGACTCCACCAGCTTGCGCAGACTACGATCCCACCAGCCTGTGCAGACTCCACCAGCTTGTGCAGACCTCACACACCAGACACCACCTCGACCCAGCACACCCGAGCGGGACACACGCAACCCGCACCACACCAGCACCGTATATTGGAAGGGGGAAGCTATGCGGGTATCTGGAGGTAGTCGCCCTCTTCTCTCTGCAGCACTACACTGCGCCAGTGCGTCTGGGAACTGGTGGTGCAGTAGGTGATATGCATACATACATTGTGTGAGCCGTACATTGTGTAGTACATGTGTAATACGGAGTTGTTCTGACACAACATATTAATGCAAAGGAGGACCGATTGGACACACGACGTCTGTTCTGCCTTGTGGATACTCATGCAAAGGAGGACTGATTGGACACACGACGAACTGGCGTGCGCTAGCAGGTGACTACTCCCGGCAGACATATCTGGCGTCCGCACTGTTTGGGGCCCACGCTGCAGGTGGCGACTCCCGGCGTACATATCTGACGTCCGCACTGTTTGGGGCCCACGCTGCAGGTGGCGACCCCCGTCCCGGCAGACATATCTGGCGTCCGCACTGTTTGGGGCCCACGCTTCAGGAGGACCGATTGGACACACGACGGACTGTCGTGCACTAGCAGGTGACCACTTCTGCCCATTACCCACACGAGTAGATGGTATGAATACATACATTGTGACATGCTCATCATCTGCACACTACATTGTGACAGGCTCATCATCTGCACACCACGTCAATGCGTAGCACGGAGTTGTTCTGACACACCTTACGAAGGCAAAGGTGGACTGATTGGACACACGCCGCCTGTTCTGCCTTGAGGATACTCATGTACAGGAGCACTGATTGGACACGCGACGGATTGTCGTGCACTAGCAGGCGACTGCTCCAGGCATGCATATCTGGCGGCTGCAGGTGACGACTCCCGGCATACATATCTGGCGTCCGCACTGTTTGGGGCCCACGCGGCAGGATGATTGATTGGACACGCGACGTCTGTTCTGCCTCGTGGATACTCATGCAAAGGAGGACTGATTGGACGCACGACGGAGTGTCGTGCACTAGCAGTACTCTCATCACCTGCACACTACGTTAATGTGTAGTACGTGCAAAGGAGGATTGATTGGTCACACGACGTCGGTTCTGCCCATCATCTACACGACTATATGATATACATACGTACATTGCGACATGCTCATCATCTGCACACTACATTGTGACAGTGCAACATGCTCATCATCTGCACACTACGTCAATAAATAAAGTATGGATCCCGACAGATACTGATACAATGATGAGCAATACAGGGGCTCCATTGCAGGCGTGGTTTAGAACCCCCCATTCACACTTCCACCTCCCGCCGACGACTCGCAGCAACCGCAACACCAGCCACCAGCACGATCCACAGCACGACCATCCGAGTGCCACCACCCCCGCGCCGCACCGCATCCCACAGCTTGTGCAGACTACGGTCCCACCAGCTTGCGCAGACCGCCCACCAGCTTGTGCAGACTCCACCCGCTTGTGCAGACTACGATCCCACCGGCCTGTGCAGACTCCACCAGCTTGTGCAGACCTCACGCACCAGACACCCTCGACCCAGCACACCCGAGCGGGACACACGCAACCCGCACCACACCAGCACCGTATATTGGGAGGGGGAAGCTATGCGGGTATCTGGAGGTAGTCGCCCCCCTCTCTCTGCAGCACTGCACTACGCCAAAACGTCTGGGAACTGGTGGTACAGTAGGTGATATGCAATACATACATTGTGTGAACCGTACATTGTGTAGTACATGTGTAATACGGAGTTGTTCTGACACAACATACTAATGCAAAGGAGGACCGATGGGGCACACGACGTTTGTTTTGCCTTTTGGATACGCATGCAAAGGAGGACTGATTGGACACACGACGAACTGGCGTGCGCTAGTAGGTGACTACTCCCGGCAGACATATCTGGCGTCCGCACTGTTTGGGGCCCGCGCTGCAGGTGACGACTCCCGGCATACATATCTGACGTCCGCACTGTTTGGGGCCCACGCTGCAGGTGACGACCCCCGTCCCGGCAGACATATCTGGCGTCCGAACTGTTTGGGGCCCGCGCTTCAGGAGGACTGATTGGACTCACGACGGACTGTCATGCACTAGCAGGTGACTACTTCTGCCCATCACCCACACGAGTAGGTGATTGAATACATGCATTGTGACATGCTCATCATCTGCACACTACATTGAGACATGCTCATCATCTGCACACCACGTCAATGTGTTGCACGGAGTTATTCTGACACAACCTACAAATGCAAAGGAGGACTGATTGGACACGCGACGTCTGTTCTGCCTTGAGGGTACTCATGCGCAGGAGCACTGATTGGACACACGACGGACTGTCGTGCACTAGCAGGTGACTTCTCCCGGCGTACATATCTGGCGGGCTGCAGGTGACGACTCCCGGCGTACATACCTGGCGTCCGCTTTGTTTGGGGCCCGCGCGGCAGGATGATTGATTGGACACGCGATGTCTGTTCTGCCTTGTGGATACTCATGCAAAGGAGGACTGATTGGACACAGTGCGTCAAGGTGTAGTACTTGCAAAGGAGGATTGATTGGTCACACGACGTCTGTTCTGCCCATCATCCACACGAGTATGTGATATACATACGTACATTGTGACATGCTCATCATCTGCACGCTACATTGTGACATGACCATCATCTGCACACTACACTACGTCAATTTGTAGCACGGGGTTGTTCTGACACAACATACCAATGCAAAGGAGGACTGATTGGACACACGACGTCTGTTTTGCCATGTGGATATTCATGCAAGGGGGGACTGATTGGACACGCGACGGACTGTCGTGCACTAGCGGGCGACTACTCCCGGCACACATATGGCGTCCGCACTGTTTGGGGCCCACGTCGCAGGTGACGACCCCCGCCCCGGCAGACATATCTGGCGCCCGCACTGTTTGGGGCCCACGCTGCAGGAGGATTGATTGGACACAAGATGTCGGTTCTGCCTTTTTGATATGCCCATCATCTGCACGCTACATTGCGACATGCTCATCATCTGCACACTGCGTCAATAAATACAGTATGGACCCCGACAGATACTCATGCGAAAGAGGACTGATTTGACACGCGGCGTCTTACTTACATTGTGTAGTACGGCAGCGTGCAGACACAACAGTTCGGCAACATGTTCACCATCTGCATACATCGTGTAGTCCCGTTGCGGTGACGAAGCTCGTCGGACACCAGGGCGCCAGGCAACATGCATGGTCTGTTCATAACCACAACGGTGCGATATTCCAATCGTGACATTGTTGGTACTTACGATTATCTTGCGACATATCTCTTTCACCTATGTATTTTGACAATGCAACAGACATTGGTTCCAAGGCATGTTGCTTTTCATTGTGCACCACCGACTGCGACCCGCCGGGTTGCGATGCCGTCTGCCGCGGAATGTCTCGCCAAGGCGCAAGAGTTCCTGAAGGCAGACGGTGGCGGAGCGGAGCCGCAGAGCAAGAGGTTCGCGGCCACGGCGGCCCCGACCGCAGGCGCGGCGTCGTCGGGCCAGGGCGCCGGCCCGGCAGAGCGGCAACTACTCACGAAGACGCTTCGCTTGGTGCTATACCGGTCGGCAGACGCGGAGCAGCTCTTGAACGCGACGGCCCATGTCAACCTTTTCGGGGCCCCGGACCTCCAGGACCGCGCGCTGAAGGCGCTGGAGCTATGGGAGAAGCACGAGCCGGAGGTCTCGGAGGCGGGCCGGATGGCGAAGAAATGGCCAATCCACCCCTTGGGCAGCAAGACGTTCTTCTTGCACTCCACGACCCTACAGGTCATTCAGGACGTGGCCAAGCAGAACGGCGGCGACGCCGAGAAACCGGTGACGGAGGCCACAACGCAGCTTCTCACCATGGAGGACTCGGAGGTGCAGCGATTCCACACGAAGTGCTGGCCCAAGTTCAAGACGCCCAAGGAGAAGCGCGTGCGGAAGCGGGAAATCGTGTTCAGCCCTTTGACGCCAGATGCGGTGCGCATCGAGTGGGCCAAGCTTGTGACGCACGCAAAATGTGGCACGCAGTCAGCGTGGATGTGCGCAGGGGCGGACAGAGCGACCTGGAGAGCGAGCTGTGGGAGACACTGAAGACTCGGGCCCCAGCGTGTGAGCAGACGAAGTGGCGGGTCCCTCGGCGGCCCGGACCGCCCCGCCCCGGCGCGGGGGCGGCCCGAACGACGCGGTCGCGGACGGCCTTTCGGGCAGCGTGTGGGGCGACTGGGCGCTGTGCACGGACTCCCCGCTGCGCGCCTTCGAGAACGAGCTGGGCGTGCAGGCGCCAGTGGGCTTCTGGGACCCCGCAGGCTCCCCGGCGCTGTTGATCCAGCCGCCCCGAGGCATGCCGGGGGTGATGGCGGCTGGGGAGGCGAGACGGTGCCTCGGGAGCCATCCGGTCGGGTGGCCCAGGTTGCCCTGATGGGCGCAAGACCTACCGACTATGTGTTCTATGATTGCACGCCTGCGGGGCAGACGACCTCATCTCCTTATGTGAGTCAGCACACACCCGACATAATGCTCGGATCTTACAGTACGCCTGTATGGCTCATGCGGCGTCTCTACAGATAGATGCGAATTCGCTTGGATTAATCATTGCAATGTTTGTTCTGCGTTGTTCCGCCGTTTAATGGAGGTCCTCTTTGGAGCCCCACCAGCTGCCTTGCTTCGTTGTGTACTTTGCCCTCGTGCCATTGGTGGCCGTCATGTCTGATGCTATTCATGTTACATATCGTCGCTGCAGTATTCTGAGGCACATTGTGGCTGGATGGTTGGACAGCTCCTATGTCGTCAGGCGCTTGTTCTCCGCGTTCCCGTTTGCTGTGAAGCCGGCTCCCTCTAATTAGGATTGCCTCTTCTCCTATTTGGTCCCGTTGTATGATTCAGACGTTGCGTTATGGCTGTTTTCATCGGTTGTGGATAAGCGTGCGGTGCCTTTGCCGCTCTCGGTTGAGTCTTACGAGATGCGGATTGTCGACCTTGCCGTGTTCATCGGCGTCGACGGGCATACGATGCTTTCGGGCATGCGCCAGGGCTCCAGGACGTTTTCACGAGGTTCACCATGGGTGGTAGCTGCTGGTGGCGCCGCTGCTGGATTATGTGGATTGCCGTGGGCTTCTTTGGTCTGCGGTTTGTGGGAGAACGCTGTCATGTATCTTTATGCAACCTACTGCCCACCCGGGAATCGCGTGGTGCAGGATCCCCCTGTGGGTGGTCACTCTGGTGGGTGCTCGCAGGAGTTTGCCTTCTGGCTGCGAGCCAGATTGCATCTACAAGTACCGGATTCTGGGACCCCGCAGGCTTCACGAAGGACGGTGGCGCCGCGGCCCTCCAGAGGCGCCGCGAGGCAGAGAGCAAGGATGGGCGCGTGAGCATGCTCGCCACGAAGGGGTACATCACGCCAGAGGTTGCTGGCAAGTCTCCTGGCGAGATCTCCCCGTCTCTCGAGGTGAAGTTCGAGGGCGTCCCGAACGGGCTGGCTGCCCTCTCCAAGGTGCCAGGACCCGGATGGCTGCAGATCGTGGCGCACCGCCTCTACTGCGAGTCGGGCCCGTTCGGGTGCAACTCGGACCCTAACAGGAAGCCTGACGAGCTCGGATGGAGGCCTATCGGTCTCGACAGCACTGACGCCACGGTCAGGCAACGCAGGTTGAATGCCGAGATCGCGAACGGCCGCCTGGCCATGATGGCGAACCTCAGCGCCATCTCCGAAGTCCCCGCGGCAGGTTTGGGGGAAATCGTGGCCTACTGTACGCTTTGCGAGCTGGTCCAGGACCAGTCTGATGGCACCGATGTCTCAGCGGGCGACTTCGACTGGAAGATGCTGACGGCCAGCGTCGCCGCGGCCAGGCGGCCGCAGTTGGCGGCCAGGACTGCCTACTTTCGTTTGGCATTTACTGCGGTCATCGGCATGCTCTTCCAGGATTTGGAGGGCGGCCCTCCTCCTCCGTTTACTCCCCCCGTCACGGGACCAGGAACCCAGAATTTCGAGGCGGTTCCAGCCCTGGTGGCCAGGGCGACTGACGACCTTCCGGAGGATCCTGCCATGACTGAAATGGGGCCCGTTAAGCCAGAAGGGAGCGCGGTTTCGATATTACCGAATCCCAGAAGTGAAATGGGGCCCGTTAGGCCAGATGCAAATCGTGGCGTCTCGAGCCCCAGCCCCGTCCCCGACGACCGCCCTGAGCGCGGACCACCTCAACGCCCCGTGATGACGACAGACGACCATCCTGAGGATCCTGCCACGCACAGTGACATCTCGGAGCATAGCAGCAGCAGCAGCGGCAACGCGCCACCCCCTGTTTCGTCGACAGACGACGACGTCCCAGAGGGGAATCCAGAGGTGGTGGCAGCGGTCACGACACCACCCCCCGCATCGCGGTCAGACGATGACGTCCCAGCGGGGAACCGAGACGAGGCAGCCTGCGGTGACCAGTGCACAGCTCACACTAACGACCCCCCCCCTTCAGCTGCACCAGCAGGCCAGAGGCAAGGAGCGGGCAGTCACGGCGGAAACCGCGGAGGCCGCGGAAGCCGCGGAGCACCCCCCTCAGGACAATCAGTCCGTCAGCAGTCTTCTGGGAGAGCCACGCACCCTGCAGGGAGACCAGGTAGCAACCACCCAGACTCTGGGCGGCGAACCCCAGGCGCCCTTGCCAGGCGTCCATGGCACCACTGGCGAAGCAGCTTGCGCCCCGGCTATGGGCGCTGCGGCGCCGCGCGTGCTCGCGCCCAGCACAACTAGTGGCACCCCAGAGGCCGGAGCGAGTCCTGCCCAGCCCAAAGGGGGCGCACCTGGGAGCGACGGCGGACACAGGCTCGGAGGCGAACGCCAGCGAAAAGGGCACCTCCCCACGTGCCACAAGGCTGCGTCTGCCCTGGCCGCCCGACGCGACCCGAAGCTGTCGCGAGCAGATCTCGATCCCCCCAGCCAGGACAACGAGGCCCGTACGGTGGAGGCTTGCGGCCAGGATACTCGGCGGCACCAGAGGCCCGACCCGCGTCAACGGCCAGAGCCCAAGGACCCCGACGCTGGACATCAACTGCACAAAACAGGAATCAACAACATCCAGTGGGACCTCCCCGGGGAGACACCCGGCGAGACGATGCGCCGACTCCAAGTCACACTGGGAACGACGTTCACGGGCACCCGGCACGCCTTCGCCGAGCAGCAGCGCGTGCCTGGCAGCAAGGGTGCGCTCGACCCGCTTCGGCACGACCTGCAAACCTGCCACCGCTTCCTGGAGTCTTTCCGCAGCCACAAGTGCGACGTACGGGTCCTTAGCGACGCGCTGGACCTCGACGTCGACTGGACTCGGCCGCGGCAGCTGCATCGGGGTCGGAGCGGCGGAGTGAACAGGGATCACCACGCGGCACACCCGAACCACCAGGCCCCCAGGGAGCGCAAAACACGATGGTGGGCCGCCGCCCCACAGTAGCCCCGGCTTCTGTCTCGTTCAGAACTTCTACTTCTTCATCTTGGCTGTTATCTACGTGCTGCGTGTGTGGCTTTACCGTCGGCATCCGTCCTTTTTTCCCTCTGTCTGCGTGCTGCGCGTGTGGCTATGCCGTGGACAGTTTGGTTTTCTTCTCTGAGATCCACCTTCTCTGTTGACTACGAGCTGTACGCCGTACTCATCAGCGCGATTGGGTTTCTCTTGCATCCTCCCTCTTGGTTCTGACGGGCTGTTGTCGGACGTGCCGTGCTTCTCCATCGGTGGAAACATGCTGTGAGGGTGTGCGACGGCGGTGGAAGATGTGCCTGGAGAAAGGCGCGCGGAACCCAGGGAAGGCTGCAGCGCAGACCCCCCGCCAGGTGGACAGGCGCGCAGGACCCCCCGCGGCGACTGAGGATCCTCCACAGGGAACGGTGGAGGGATCAAACAGATGAGACCCAGTCTGGTCCGCACCGTCACTGTGGGCCGCCTCATCCTCCTCCTCCTCCAATTCACCAGTTTGCGCGGCTCTCGGCTGCGCCCCCCTTCCCGCCCCCTCCCCCCTGGGTCAGCGCGGCGCAGATTGCCTGAGCCGGCCCCGACAGCGGCTCGCGCCGACGACGGCACCGACGGCGACGCCTTATCCCCCCCCTCCTGCGACGCCAACGTCGACGACGGAGCCGTCTGCGACGCCTGATTCGGCTTCGACTGGGACGCCATCGCCGACGACGGTGCCGACGGCGACGCCCTGTCCGTCTCCGACATGCTCAGTTTGCGCGACGCAGGGGCTCGCCTCGGAGACGACGGCTGCGGCGACTCGTGCGGCCAGCGCACGTCGCCAGGGTACTGCGCGGGCAGCGTGGCATGTGTGGTTCTGCGACTGAGCGACGCCTAATCCGACTCCGACTGCGACGCAAGAGCCGACGTCGGAGCCGACTGCGACGCCTGACCCGGCTTCGACTGCGACGCTGCGCCGACGACGGAGCCGACGGCGACGCCTCCCGCCCCCCGTTGCTGGGCGACGCGCAGCCCGTTCGCCCCCCTTTGCGTGTCGCCGAGGCCGCCGCTGGCTCGCTTTGCAGTATTCTCTGCGCGCGGTTTCTTTGATTGTCTGAGGCGCGCGAGCAACGACCAGGAAGGCAGAGGCCTGCGGGGTGGAGGTCCAGGGCACCAGCGAAGTGACAGCACTGTCCTCCGCCAGTGGACTGGCGTGTTGCCCCCCCCCCGCGGTCACTGAAGACCCCCCACAGGGGGCGGTGGAGGGGCCACAGAGGTGACTCCGACATCAGAGGACTGGCGCGCTGCCCCCCCCGCGGTCACTGAAGACCCTCCACAGGGAGCGGCGGAGAGTTCACAGAGGTGACCCCGACCACGCAGCGTCGACATTGGTGCTGCCTCTTCCTTCTCCTCCTCCAATGCACCGGATTGTGCGGCTCTCGGCTGCGTCTCCCCTCCCCCTCCTCCTTTCGTGCGGATACGGCGCTCAGTGCCGCTCGAATTCCCCCCTACCCATCCAGATCCACCGGGGCGCTCGAACATCCATGGGCACCTGGAGGCTCACTGGCAGGGCTCCGAGGCGCACGCTGGCAGCAGCGGCTGCCAAGGAGTGATCTGGACAGCCAGGGTCAGAGGCAGTCTGAGCCCGCAGGCGCGGGATCC